ATTTCTTTCCCTATCCAAACAATAAAAGCCATATGGTGGTGTCTTCATCTTACGTACCATGAAGCTAATGTTTTGAAGCCTGAGGTGCTGTATATACTACAGGCATTGGTTTTGAATCCTTAATCAAATATCTGGCGTCCAGAAATAATGACAACCAATTTTCTTTTTCCTTTTTTCTTTCACCTCCTTATTTCTGTGACCTAAAAAGCTCTTGAAACATGAGTTGTGGGAGTCTTCACAGAGCACTTCCTGGATTACTGAGTAGCATCATTTTTTCTTAGAACTCCTGTGATGTATGCTTCCTTCTTTTGCCTTGTAGGTGGCATGCAAACTCTATCTTGATAAAAGTGCATATGAATTATAAAACGGCATTTGTTTTCTATCCTAATCTATTTTTTGTGCAGTTAATAAACAACTAAATGATAAAGAGCGAGTAGCTGCAGCATTGGAAAACCCAAACCTGGTGGATATGGTCGATGAATGTTTGGCTCCTTCATATGCCTGAAACATTCCACCTACCACAGCTGAAAGCTTTCTGTGCACACCTTCACTCAAGGCAGCTCATGTTATTACGACTACCATGCAATTGCTTGTCATTGTTCTTCCCATCTTTTTGTTACCCTGATATGTATACATAAATGAGGTTTAAATCCTTAGAATGCAGTTCGAAACTGACCTTTGGTAGAGTTGAACTCTGGCTCTCTCGGCGACTATACGATTTCTTCAGGTTGTCTTGTTATCTCACTTTTATGTTTGTATACTATGATTTATATAATAGGTATTGCGAGGTTTAAATGAATAACAAACAGTGTTGGACCCATTTTGCATTGTGCTTTGAATTTCCCGTGAATTATACCTGTTTGAATAGCTTGTTGTTTGCATGATAAGGGTTCTTATTATATTTTTTTATATATTTGAGCGAAATGTTTGAACTGTGTACTTTAATTACAGAATATAGAAATTGATGGTTTCTGCGGATGGTTTCATCGAATGTTTGTCAAGCATCTGTTTTTATTAATGCAATTGTGGATTAGCCAAAGTTATGATAAATTATCTCGAGTCTAGCTACGCAAGAGCTGAAAACTGGCATGGTTAGAACTTGTGTAATGCATTTTCGCGTACAGCACCTCCTGACACAACCAAACAAAAAGTGAGGCTGTAAACAAGCCTTTTAGTTAGGCAAAGAGCTCAAACTGCTAGAGTGGTGATATTCTGGGAATAAGCTTTGGCATTTCCCTGCTTGAACTAGTCATATTCCATGCTATCGGTATCTTTTGACAGATCCATCAAAAGAGAACCAGTAAAAAATTGTTGAATTATTTCACTGATGGAAAAAATACTCCCTGACAAAGTACACCCGCCATTGATAAAACTTGGTCCGTATCCAATTAAGCCTGAGTCCATGTCAAATGAAACCCTAACATGTAAATGATAAGCGCAACAGGAAAATTACTTGTATGTCCCCAGTTTCTCCCTTGTATCTAATTTATATTTATTCCGGATAAAGTTTTTCATGGTATTAAGGTTTTTCTTGTAAGTTCAAAATTCCTTCAACGCTAAAGACATTGCCGAGGCTCGATCAGCAAGACGAGGTCAAAAAAAAAAAAAAGAACAGAAAAACTCCATTGCAAATCAAACTAGAATCACACCTGACATTATACATTGAGTGGTTCCACTTCCCCAGAAAACAGAGGAAAATGCCATTGATCGAACCCATAAAAATACGGTGACAGCCTGTGTGGTCTGGTAATATTTGTGTAATACACTGAAAGGAACAGGCGACTCTTCAAAGCGACAGTTCAAGCAAAATTCCATTGAAGATGTGATACGTTAGTATTTTCTGACAAAATTACCGACAGATATACCATCAAAAAAATTAAATGAATGAAAACTCTTGAGTTCTCTCTTACCCCTACTTTCCTCTTCTTCTTTCTACCAAAAAAGCAACAGCCTCTCCTCTCATGTTCAATTTCTTGAGAAGCTTTGTTGCACCAAGTAAGCAAATCTATTTATTTATGTTTTTGATTAATTTATTAAAATTGTTTTATAGTATTTATAATTTGCTTGTATATTTAAATATTTTACAATTTTTTCCTGAAAAATTTTGTTGTGCTAGTGTATGATTTATATGTTAGGTTTGTTTGAGATATAAAAGAAATTAATTTTATTTATTATTTGATAAAATTGAATTTGATGTTGTGACTTAGGTGTATTATAATTGAAGAAATGATGGGTTATTTAATAGGTAATAATTATATTTTGTCAATTTTATTGTAAAATTTAAAGAAATTAATTTTTTATGGAATTGATAATAATTCAAATGTATTAATATAGGTTGAATAAGTTTGAATTGAACAAATGAGAATAATTAGTTGGGTATCAATTATTTGTTGTTAATTTTATTGTTTAGATCACATTTTGATGCAAAATTGAATTTGTGTAAAGATGATAATTAGTTCAAAATTGGATTTGTATAAAAATAATAATTAGTTATTAGATTGCAAATTTATTCTTAATAAAAATTTAAATTTTGAATTGATAGTTACATTATAATAAATATTATCATTAATATTCTATACATGTTTTATAAGTAATGGTTGTATAGGCATGATCATCTTAAAATGATATACAATTTTATTAATTTTATATTTTCTAATCTAAAAAATATTAGTAAAAATAAATATTTAAAGTGTAAGAATAAAAAATTTCACAACGAAGATATTGTAAAAAATTAGGATTTTATTATGTCAATTTTAGGAATTTTTGATGGAATTATTGATGGATACATTTTTTATGGAATAACCATGTATATCCTAATTAAAACTCTTTTTTTTTGTTTTTAATTCTCTATTACACCCCATGCCACTTTTTCTTATTATTTATTCTACCAAGCCTTTTAGCTACAT